CAAATGAAGCGTTTAAAATTGAAACGACGGTCTGTACTCGGTTATCGGTCGGCCATAAGCGCCCCCGTTTTTGCAAGCCGGAAATTTCAAGCCAGTCATGTCGCCGCCGCTGTGTATTTGACTATCTTATCGCTGCCGCAATGCTTCGGTTCCGCACAGTTCCAGTCTGACCACAATAAACAGCTTGTCGAATGCTCGCTGCTGCGACATCCTTGACAGCGCCAAGTAGCGCGGCGTAAGCTATCTGCACATATAGTCCAACGATCGTCCTCGATCTGCGATCCTACATTTTGTGCGTTTCCTTTCGGGATGTATACTTGATTATGCCAAAGATCATCGGCGCCCCCTGGTGATCGGATGAACGCGACGTGCCCTGGTGAGGGTTAATCTGCCCCCGGTATTTCATAAATCGAGGGAAGTAAATAGCACAAATTTACAGAGGAGATGGGCATTCATGAACTCACCTGTGACCAATTGTGAGGTCCCTAGGTTATAACGTTCAGGTGAAATAAGGCCAAACTCCGGATTGGTGCCTGCAATGTCCTCGGGCCTTCTCATGCAACCACCTTTAAAGGGAATATTCTACATTTGAAGAGACTGAACCAACTGTGAAATGGAATGAAATATTCACTTATAATTGGTGGTATACTTTTAAGTGGACGAGGACTGCTCCAGACAATACAGTTTTCTCTAATTAGTAAATGTGCCTTCTCGTTACGTCATTGCTTGATTGCGTCATCATCCACTGCACAAGACTTATTGAGAGCCAAGTGGCAGCCGGTGTGTCTAGAAATTGTGCTCACGCACGCCATGAGCGACTCGACTGTTATATCTTCCTTGGCCTTGATCGGCGTGTGGACAATGGAATAATAGAATTTAGAATGATATTATTATGACATCATGCATTCCAAGGTGACCTAAAAATGTTCTCCTACAGTTACTCTCCCACATCCTTGCGGCCTTAAAGCTCAGTAGCCAGAGAGGGTTTAGGTTTTAAGAAGTGTATGACCGCGAACTACATCGAAAGGCTTTCAATGTGGATATTTCAGTTCAGAACCCCATACAAATGTGGAGCACTCCCTTCAACCTAGATACCTCTTCTAAGCAAAAGATCACTGGTCTTCATGCCATCTTATTGCTTTATTTGACATTCAGAAGGTCATGTATAGCAAAAACCTCTGAGATTGTGTTCATATTTGAATTCAAATATGCGTGAAATACTACGTGGGACGTTTTGTTCCTAACTTTCACTAGGAGATTTGACATCGGTGGCCTCAATTGACCTCAACGAGGCTTAAATAAGATGTCTGCTGATGTCCCGGCGGCACCGAAATGAGCGTCAAAAACTACCCCCGAAACCAAGGTCCCCAACTTAAGTGCGATTGGGCTTAAGCTCGTACTCGTAACTTCGGTCTTTTTACCTGGCGCAAGGTTGATGGGATTAGTCGTAATCCTAAATGAATTGTCTAATTGTCTAAAAAACCATCTTGAATGCGTCTGGCTTCCTTATTACACTCCGTGGTCGCATCGCACAGAACGCTTCCCTAGAAATCACGCTGGCCCGTCTTTGACCCGCCATAGATTAGCGACCATACAGGGCACAGCTGTGTTTTTGATACCAAAAGAGTCGTTGATGCCACTGAGGCGCTGACGTGATCCATTCTGGTATGCTCCAGCTAAAAGCCGCTGACGTGATTCGTTCCGGCATGCCTCAGCTAAAAGCCGCTGACGTGATTCGTTCCGGCATGCCTCAGCTAAAAGCCGCTGACGTGATTCATTCTGGCGTGCCTCAGCTAAAAGCCGCTGACGTGATCCATTCTGGTATGCTCCAGCTAAAAGTCGCTGACGTGATTCGTTCCGGCATGCCTCAGCTAAAAGCCGCTGGCGTGATCCGGTCCGACATGCCTCAGCTAAAAGCCGCTGACGTGATTCGTTCCGGTGTACCCCAGCTAAAAGCCGCTGAGGTGATCCACCTGGATCTCAAACTGCCACACCATGTGAGGAATTAAGCCTGCAGAGCATACTAAAGGCTTCACGAGGATTACTTCAGAATAACTGGAGCTATTCCGAAACATAATTCCGTGAAGGTAGCAACTGATTTCAGTTTCTCCCGCCCCTGCCAGGGTCAAACGATCTCACGCTTAAAACGCCCGCTGGTCCATTCTGTCGCCTTATGCAAATGAGCGCCTGCGAGCGTATCTTGAGGCGGAAGAGTACGCAGATGAATTCCTGACGCTTCAGTTTGCAAGCACCGCCCGCTCTCCGCGACGGAGTGCAGTGCTCTTCTGCCGACGATGGAGCTATCGGAGATTTGTTACGGCTGCTATGGGGCAACTTGGGCTGGAGGGCCGCCGGCTGATGAGACAGCCGAGATAAGGGCTGCCGCCGGCCGGGCCTGTCCTGCGGGCACGAGTGCGATGACGCCTCAGGCGCCGTCGCGAAAGGCCGCTGGTTACAGCGCTGTAGAACGGCGTCGGGTAGATTATCAGTCTCTGGATCTGGATTGGCAGGCACGCATGGCAGGCAGCGTTGGACCGTAGCTTGATCTCAACGCTCCGGGACGGCTGCTCCCGCCGCGTGATGGTTTCACATCCCATTCTTTTGTACAAAATTCAATCTCGCTCTCCCGCAGAGCGTCTCATTCCGTAGCTCTGAACCTGGGGCCACTTGTACTTGAAGCGCGGGTGGAGGGTCACCACACAAATATCTCCGAGCATGCACCTCCATAGATTCGCCCTCGGGTAATGATGTACCGATTTCCGGATGCATTTTTGGAATTCGTACTTCATGTTCGTAGTTTGGTGCTGAGACAACTTGCGCCAAATTCAATCGAGGTCACATCTGCATCAGTCGTGCACTCCAGACGCTCGCGGGCAGCTGTCTGTCGCCAGGAGCACGTCCGACCGGGGTCGATCGTGTCAGCCCTATGTTATGAGGTGACCGGGGTTTAGATTTGGCAGGCCGGAACAGCTTCGGCGGATACAAATCACGTCTGGCTGTGTTATGGATCGAGCGATGCAGCATTGGATTCAAACGGGAGCCGGCCATTTATCACGTGGTTTGCATCATCCATGGAACATTTTTTCCCATCCTAAGCAGTGACCACATCAGAAAAGCTACGCCATAAATAAGGCCCCGGGAAATGCTGGCGCCCATTGCCATATAGCATGAAAAATTGCATGCTGTACACGGTTAGGCACGTGGATCAGTTGGAGCGCGCACAAATTGGATCAACGGAGCATGTAGTGTTCGGACCACGCACAGCCAGCGACTGCGTCAGACAGCGAGGCAGAAGACACGATTAGGCACTATGATGTGGCATGCTACAGACCAGGAGAGTGGATGACGCTATTAAGTGCAAGGTCACTTAAAACTGGCCAGATGGCTAAATGGCTGCTCCCTTCAGTCGTTTTAGTTGCAGAATGATGGGGTGCGATACATAATAGTAAATGTCAAGGCATCGGCGTTAGCACTGGACACGGAAGCATATTCATATTAAACACATTTTGGCCCCCTGTAGACGGAACAGCTTATCGTTGGATACCATCTAAGGTTGTTGCTCATTAAGGCGGTACTTTACTAAGATCACTGCGTGATGTTGGGCATACTTAGTACTACAGATGTGTGTAAACGGTATGGCACAGCTAACAAGTGACGTAAGTATGTCAGGAAGAAGACTTACTTTGGCGTGTGAATATGTGACGGGGACTAGGACTTCCTTGGAGCAAGTGAGACAAAAGCATTGACGGCGTTTGGATGATGCATTCCGCTAGTCTGGTCCCTCTTGGATGCTCCACATCTACGTCACCAACGAAACAGTCCTGCCGACTGTTCGCGCAAGGACTCATCGTCGTAGGCCTGAGAAATGTCGATGTCATTGCCATATGTTTGGGCCGGATGCGTCCCCGAAGCCGTTAAAGCCCCAATTAGACAGCCGCATGGAACATGTACCGCACATTGATCAGCCGGGCGATTACCGACACTTGTTGGCGGCGGCACTCAATAGCACTCAGCAGCACTCAGCAGATTGCCAGCGGCACTCCGTGGATGTGTGCCCGCCGATAAACTCCCTCACTTACACCGTATACGTCTTTTTCAGATATCTACTTCAACGTGACGTTGCGCAGGAAGACGTTGTTCTACACTGTGAACCTCATCATCCCGTGCGTGGGCCTCTCGTACCTGTCGGTGCTCGTGTTCTACCTGCCGGCCGATTCCGGCGAGAAGGTGGCCCTCTGCATTACCATCCTGCTCTCGCAGACCATGTTTTTCTTGCTCATCTCGGAGATCATTCCGTCGACGTCGCTGGCGGTGCCGCTGCTCGGCAAGTACCTGCTGTTCACTATGATCCTGGTCACCATATCCGTCATCTCCACCATCGTCATCCTCAACATCCACTACCGCAAGCCGTCCACGCACAAGATGGCGCCTTGGGTGCGCAGCTTTTTCATCCACGAGCTGCCGCGGTTCATCCTGATGCGCATGCCGGAGCGCGACGCGCCGGCGTCGGCTCCATTCGAGCCCAGTGCCAGCGCCCCCCTCGGCGCGTTCCAGCCTGTGCACGCCGAGATGGATGAGAGCGCCCGGCTCCAGGCTCTGAACTTCTTCGGTGACGAGCGGCGCTACCCGTTCGAGATCGAGCGCGCCATACAGAACGTCAAGTTCGTGCACCACTGCTGGAAGGTGCAGGACCAGTTTGACGAGGTGAGTGCCGGGGAAGGATAGGATGGGGTAGGATGGGTGTCTCAGCTGGTGTTTGTGCGGAGGTCGGCAACGTGTCGACTTTGCGCGCATAAACATTTGCAGAACCAGTTGACGTTGTTGCCATACCGTCCGCAATGCTTTTGTATTTGCTCAGTGGAGCCTTGCATGGGTCGAAGATATGCAACATCAAGTAGCCCAACTTGAAGCGACACCATACGCATTGTATTTTCTTGAGATGGCGGAGATTTCCGAGAACCATTGCGATCAGCTTTGGTTCGGAGTCACAGGATCGGCCTGCTAAGTAAATGGTTGTGAGTTTGTGACCATGTGTCAGGTCGTCCGAAAATTGTGTCGAAGGACCCGCCGGATTTATGAGGACTTTTATGGTAGGCCATTTCGCATCGACTTTATTTATTTGATATTTCACTGAGATGAATGGAGGCTATAGATTAGGTAACTTTTGCCAGTGCGGCGTTGTGCTGTGGCAGGACGACCGAGTGAAGCTACTGCAGGGTTATGTACCTCCTGCTCATGGTATACTCACGACCACGTGATACTCACGGATTGGCGCTCCTAAATGCACGCAGTTGCATTTCCATTTCCTTCTGACCCATCCGCACATCTACCAAACGCTCAGTATTTGATCTGGGATAAGCTGGAGCGATTTACAGCTTTCCATCCGGTACTGAAACTTCCCTGAACTGCGCTGTATGCTGTCAGCGCCGGCGCGCTGCGGTAATCATCTCCCGCAGCGGCGCCCCTCTCTGGCCGTCCGCCGTTTTGGCGAGCGGCGGCCGGCGCGGCACCAGTTGAGCGCGCCTGGGCGTCTTGTCGGCCGCGCTCCGTCTGTTTTCGGCGCGGTCCGCCCCGTTCCGCCCCGCGGCGCCGCGACCGGGCAGCTTTTGTTGCCGGCCGGCTGACTCGGCTGTGCTGGGAGCGATCTAGCGAGAGCTGGGCCTCTGGTCTGGCCGGGGCCGGTTCGCTCGCCTCGCTGTTTTCGTCGCGTCTCATTTGAAGACGTGGCCGGCTCGGTAAACAGCGGCTCGCGCGGGAGGGACTCGGGCCCACGGCGGCCTGACCGGCGAGCCGCGCGAGCCGCGAGCCGCCCGTTCGTTCGCGGCTCGCTCGTTCGAAGCGAGCCGGCGCCGGCAGTTGGCCGGCCGGCGTCGGCGGGCGTGCAACAGACGCCACCCTATTGATCGCGTCGCCCGTCTGATTGCAGGAGGACCAGGACTGGGCGTTCATCGCCATGGTGATCGACAGGGTGCTGCTGCTGCTGTTCGGCGTCGTCTCGCTGCTCGGCACGTTCGTCATCCTGTGCGAGTCGCCGTTCCTGTACGACACCACCCAGGCAATCGACGTGCAGCTGTCGGAGGTGGCGCACCAGATGGCCGTCTTCGCCGGTGACGTGTGAGCCGCGCCGCGTGACGTCGTCGACGCCGACGGGCGCCGGCGCGCGTCCTCGCGGCTGATGGACGACAGTGGCGGCGGCGGGCGGCTGGACACGGCCGAGCGGCGCCACGGACACCGGCGACACTGTCATCAAGGCGGGCCGAGCGCGCCGGGGGACACCCGCGTCGTCATCAAGGCGGACCGGGACGGCTGGAGCACAGCCGGCGTCATCAAGGCGCCGCGTCGCGGCCGACTGGGCGCGGCGACACGCTCACTGCCCGACCTCAGGGCGCCACCACTGAAGCCGCAGGCCGGGCCCGGACGGAGATGGATGTGTTGTGGAAGCTGCTGTCTGAGAAGCTGTGTTTCAAACCGGCCAGCGCATTATCGCATTGCTTTAGGGCGCTGCAACTGTGTGCATTACCTTACATGAGGCCCCAATTAAATCTAACTATGCCATTTAATAGCAGTTGAAATGAGATGGTATATTTCACCCTTTTCTTCCGGAAAGACTTTGATTAAGCAAATTAATTCCCCCCGATGCTAGATTTGAGACTGAAAACGCTAGGGGCTCCGAGTCTCAGTAGAAATTAACTTACCTACCCGAAACTCTGGCGAGATATTCAAATTTTACCCGGTTGTAGTTTCATTGGAACCATTTTATTTCAAATGCAAAAAGGTCCAGGTAAAACGTTTGCTGAAATGGATAACAGAAATCAAAGGAGAAAGCTAATGAAGTCGAATTGAGCTGCATTTTTGTAGCATTGCATAAAGCTTACTTTGTTGCAGCTGTATTTACAAGAGCACATTGCCGATCAAGTGCTTGGCTAAATTATGTTGTAGGTACCTATGTTTGCATCGGGTAATTTATTCCAAATAATTTATCACATGTTTAACACTCCACGAAGAATGAAGCATCGGGCGGAATATTTTGAGGCCATCATGGGACGCACGACTCTGTATCAGAGTTGCACGGCGACCGTTCTCCAACCCATCCCACTTCCATCCAGCCTGTCGCCCCTGGAGACCAGGTTGCCCGTCCCAGGGGGCCAGAAGGGCCGCCACGAACGCACCGTGGCGCCAGGGATCGTCCGCTGCCGCCTCGGGGATGTTTTAATCCCATCGAAGAGCGCCGCCGCCCAGCATGACGTGCTCCGGCTCGGTCGGGTGTGCCGGTGCGTGACGGTCCGTCTCGAGCCCAGACCCCCTATCACCGGACGGTCATTGGCCGGCTCCCTCGGCAGTCGGCCCGCTCATCGGCAGGCGGCCGGCGGCACGCACGAGGTCAGCGCGCCCCGCGACCGGCACCGGTGCGCTGGGCCCCGCTCGGCTGGCCTGACGTGACCTTGCGACCGCGCCCCCCGATACCGCCATGGGCTGGCACCCAGGCCGCACGCCGAGAACAGCATTGGGCGCCGAGGGCTGAGTCCAATTTGAAAGGATTTTCAGAACGCTGCCGCCGTAGATTGGCCTTCTGATGCGCTGGGCCGCGCGCCGGGGTATAATTCGTTGGTGGCCGCTTGGTGAGACGCTGCTCCACCTCATTCATCGCTTCCGGTACAGGCGCTAGGCAGCGCCGAGCGAGCAGAGAACGGCCGGGAAACGAAATGTACCCGCAGCTGATGTCCAACGAAACGGTATTGCTTCTCCAGCCGTCGCCATCGATTTACCATTAGTCTTTATTTCTTCGTCGTCTGGCAGATTTCGGACACTCGCTACGGTATTCGTAACGTGGCTCTCCAACGACAGTACGTGTTCGCGGGCGGTTTCATAGAGCGTCGTCGGACAAAGGCAGCCGCCAAGCCCTGACGACCGCGAAGGAAGCATGCGAGCAGCTTCGCACACATCAGCAGGACTGCAAGGGCGGTCCGAGACCGGACCGGCGGCGTGGCCTGTGCGCGAAGAGAGAGCCGGCAGCGCCCGGCGCCGTGCTCGACGCCGGCATGAGGTCGATCGGGGGAAGAGTGCGTCGAGTGGAGTGCCGTGTATCGCCGACGCCTGCCGACGGCGTGACGCCGCCGTCCGCCACGGCGCCGGGCGCGCAGACGCCGGCGGCGCAGTGACGCGAGCGCCTCCCGACGGGCCAGTGACGCGCCCCGCGAGCGCCTCGCGCCGGGCCAGTGACGCGCCCCGCGAGCGCCTCGCGCCAGGCCAGTGACGCGTCCCGCGCCCGCCTGCGTCTGGCGAGCAGTGACGCGTGCCTGACCGCTCGCACACTGACCATGAGCGGGTGAGGCGTCGTCTGGAGACAACCGGCCGAGCCGAGGCGTCCAGTGTGCGCGGCTGCGGCGGGGTGAACTGGCTGGTCCCGCAGCTGCTCCGTGATCGTGTCTGCCGAGTGGGGAGTCAGCGGCATGCATGATCGCCTAGCCAGGCGGCTGTTAATCGCAAATCTTGCTCAATGTGGTCTACATTTTAGATACCGTGGGCGACCGTGCCATACTAGTGTGCTCGACCCATCCTCAGTTCGGTAGCAATAACGAGCGGTGCGAACCCTAGAGCTTCCCAGCGCGCCTGAGTGCGTGTGGATGCCTACCTGTATGCGTGCGTGCGTGTGTGCGTGCGTGCGTGTGCCTGCTCCAGCGTGCGGTCAGCGGCACGGGGGCGTGGTGGGGTGTGCTGTCGGTTGGGGCCATGTTGCCATTTACTCGTGTGACAATCAATAATTGTTTGCTTTCCGAGCTGTCAATTATTTTTGCGAGCGTCAATAAACTCGAAACAGTTTGTTGTTACCCGCCATGTGTGTGTCTGGTTCTGCAGAATCCAACCGTGGAGCATATATACACATACATTCACACAAACACGCGCACACGCACACGCACAAGCACCCATGCATGCATGCACACACGCACGCACACACACACACGCACACACATATGCATACATAAACACGCACACACACACACACACATACATACATACAATATAGACACGCATATATATATATATATATATATATATATATATATATATATATATATAATCATATGGTTGAGTGGGTGGGTGTAGAGGGGCGGTGCCACCAATTTTGGGTAGGGCGACTGTCGTAAAACCATCAAAGCCGTTCAATTTTTTAAAAAGTCAGGTGAGGAATCAAGAGTATAATGATTGGCGCTCTTCTTAGGGGTCATCGCTATGCAAATTCCCTATGTATCATGCGCTGCACCACCATGAGGCCTGGGGGTGCGGAAACTGGGGAACAGGACAGAGACCGAGGCCCAGAACCTTCTGAAAATCTAGTGTTGACCTCGTGGACGTTGACTGGAAAAAATCAAATGGATCTGTTCCCCTCTCTTCCCAACTTTTAAAGTTGGCACATGCTCCAAGCTGACAGCGAGGTCCTTTCGCAACATCGTAGCTTATTTAGCACAGTGCAGGCTGTCATTTAGGCCAGTTGGCCATAACAGTGTACAAATTTGATAAGCCCGGTGGAAAAAGCGTCACAGTGTTCTATTTCTCATATTTTTGCCCCAGAGCTACGCTTTGGCTTGGGCACCTGATTCAAAGTACTTTTTGTTAATTCTCGTTTTGCTAATCAAAATAGTAAAGTGACTGCTCCACATTTAAAGATATTGAGGCAAGTATCAGCTACGATGAAATAAGATCACTTGTGACGAGCAGCATGCTGTTATGTGCAACAGACTGCTCTAGACAACACAGCGTCACGATTATATGCATCATTATTTGACTGCGTCACGTAAAGTTTGCATGACGTCTGATCGGCTTCCAAACTGGCCGTGCGAATTTGCCACCGCAGCGGACTTACAGCTCTTGCAGCGGACTTGTACCTCCCTTGCAGTATTTCAACTTGCTCTGTCTTGGCTTTCTCTTGTACATATTTTCCGTGATTCTGTATCATTTGCTTCCATGAGCATTATGGCGCTATTTGTAAGTTTTTTCGTTTCCCGGATTTATTTTCATTACAACTGGTGCAAATGCATCATACCTTTCTGCACCATGCTTCATAAAACATGATGCATGTTCGAAGCTTGCATTTACCACATTATATTGGTTGAAAACCATTTCAAGTCCGTTGTTGCCAGATGTGATGCCAACGTTGTTCAGACACGAACAACTCCATGATCATATTTTCGTGGCCTTGGGTACCATATGACCAATGAGTTAGAGCATTCGCACCGCGTTTTTTTGGCGTCATGCTTGCCGGGCTGTCCTTGAAAAGGTCTGCACAAGTTCGCGGCCGTGAGCTCAGAAACCAGAGTATTTTAAGTCTTTAAAAGAGCAGGGCTGTGACCTGCACTGACTGAACTTTAAAATTACCATCTCTACCATCTCTCAGATTACCAATCTACTTGAACTCCTTCCGGGTCTGCATCACTGTCGTTTATGGTACGACCATAAGCACGGCGCAACGTTCTATAACGTGACGCGCTTATTCTGGCAACAGCAGCTCCAACATAACCTTGGTTCACCGGAAGAAAGCGATGGCCGTGACTCACTCGTGCTGCATTGATGCCCCTCTGCGTCACCATTAAGCGAAGTCAATATTCAGCCGCTGTCGCGCGCTGAACCTGCGCTCAGCTGTGACTCAGCTGGCGGACTAGGTCATGAGAAGACGCAGAAGTGTGACGACTTCTGTGTCGGTTCCCGCGCGTTGCGCCCCACATTGCGCAGAACATATGATGCCACCGCCTATTGATTATATGATATATAATGCCGCCGCCGCCGCCATATATGATTTCCTCTTTGCACCATGCCTGGCTACGTCACTGTATTTTCTTGCATTTTTTTGCATACTGTAGACTAGGTCAAGTGATCTCATTTTGAAAAAGAAGTATTTTTACCACTGTTCATTTACGTACATACCCATCTTTCACTAAAAGCATGATGTAAATAGATATTTGGCAAATGGCTAGGTTGCGGCTGCCCCATGCGTCTTCGATGGTGGGTGCCTGGGTGCCCTGGGTGCCTCCGTATGTTTGATACTCACAGCTCCAACGCCATCAAGAAAATGTATGTTGCGGGCCAGAAAAGACGGAAGAAACCGATGAACGGGGGCCTTGT